AGTGATGATAGCTGACACTTAAATAGCACTACTAATGCACCAGACCCTGTTCTAACTGCTTTACAGCTATTAACTCATTGAATCCTCCCAGGCCTCTGAGGTGGGACTCAGCCAGGGCCAGACCAAGGCAATCTGGCCCCAAGTCCATGCCCTTCATCACGCTATATTGCTTCTCGTCTCTACCCTGCCTTTACAGAACATGTCAATCTGATTTCTTCAGGGGGAAATGTGTAAAATAGTCTTTCTGTGTGAGATAAGTTTGGGCAAGAGTTAGGAGAGAAATGGATCTTTGGAACAGGACGTTGTCCATTTGGGTTTAGATCTCAAGTCTCGCCCACGGTTTAACCATCAACCTTCCCCGAAGTCAAGACCCATCAATTGTTTGCTAAGTTCAAAAGTAGGCTTCCAAATTGTTCGTTAGCTTTTGTGGAAGAGCAGAGTACCCAAAGCAGATGACAGTCAAAATTTTAGTTACTAACAAGACTGGGCGCACACAGGGATATTTTTAAGGACAGGCGGGAGGTAGCCTTCCTGGTTGGATGGAAAGATAAGGCGATTCTGTCCTCACAAGGACCAGGGAAACAGCCATGGCATGGGATATTTAGTATGTGTGGGTTTCATTAAAATAAATTATTTCAGATCATTTTCATTTTAAATTCATAGAAACCAGAAGTTAAGTGATTCAGAACCCAAATGAATCCACAAATCTATAAAAATCTATACTTATGCTATAAACTATAGCCTCTTTATAATTGGCCAGTAATTTATAGTTTTCAAGAGAAAGAAAGGTTCAAAACACATAGACTTTATAGTCCAAGATCGTTGGCTTTCATTTTTCTGTTTCTACTTCCGACCTTTGTGATCTTGGGCAAGTTACTTCATCCTGCCATCCTTCAGGGACCCAGTCTGACAAAGGGGGATAATAATATCTACTTCTCAGAGTTACTGTGAGGATTCAGTAAGCTAACATACATAGAGTGCTTGGCATATCATGGTCATTCTGCAAATGAGAGTCATCATCACACTAAGCTTCAAGGGGAAAGTTCTAAAGCTACTTTCCAGAAACAAATTTCTAATTCAGTAGAAATATCTGCAACACCCAAGAAACAAGAAAGTAAATGTTGAATGATGGCATTTATGGCTTTGAGAGTGGTGCAGGCCCTTGTGTTTAGGGATACAAGACCCTTCTTAGTACTCCCTACCTACCTGGGTTTCCCTCATCCATGTTTCCCAGGCAGCTGCAGGGCCTGGAAGGAAACCAGCCTGACATCCACCCTAATGAAGCTACGTGTTGGCTCCCAGCAATCAGGAAAGGGGTAGCTTCCTTTAACCCAGCTGTCAGGTAGACAGCTTGAGAAGCCCAAAGCCCAAGTCACAGTAAGCATGCTAGGTTGCAGGGTTTTTGAAGATTAAAATATCGATCTACATACATAAACAGTTAATGTCTAATTTGGATTAAATTTTGCATATGAAAGACCCATTGCAGATGTCATGATGTGTGATAATTATAGTATCCTCAGAAAAATGGCATAGTAAGAAATCAGAGGGCTTGTAAGTATATATGATGTTTAATAAATTATAAAAGTAGCCTTTATTTAGTATAGGAAATGTGAAAAATACGGAATAATACAGAGAAAGAAAAGCACTCATTTTCCCATTATGACCACTACTCACGTTTTGGAAATAACCTTTCAGTATTTTTCCCCCTGTGAGCTGCCTAAAAATTAAACAAGCCTAAAAATTAAATATAAACATATATTTTTTCATAATTGCAATCCTTCTGCACATATTGTTATAATTCCCTGTTTTCATAAAATGACATATTATAAACATTAATATATATAAAAGCCTAAGCAACCATTCAACTGCTTGACCATTCAACCGATAGCTATGATGCACACTGACCACCAAGGGGCAGATGCTCTGACCAGTAAGTTAGTTTGCTGCTGGAGTCTGGCCAATCAGGACTGGGCAAGACAAGCCGGACATGCCCTGGTAGATCCCAGGAAAAATCATGCCCAGCTGGACTTGAAGAAAACCTCGCTGGTGAGAGATTCCTACGCCCCCTCTCCTTTCTCTCCCTAACAGCCACCGCTCACAGCTGGGGCATCCTCACCCCTGAAGCTGGAGAGCTGCTTTCTAGGACACAGGCCTGTTATATGAGCCCTCATCCCCAATAACCTCCCATGGTCCCTCTCCGGCCCTGATTGGCCCTGATCAGCCCCAATCGGGACTGGGCGAGATGGCCCTGATTAGCCCAATCAGGACTGGGCAATATGGGCCGGACACACCCAGGAGCCTTCCCGCATTCCCACCCCGGTGCCAATCATGCACCAGTTGGGTCCCACATTGCAAGAGGGTGCAGGCCAGGCCGAGAAACCCCACTGGTGAACATATCCATGCACTGGGCCCCTAGTCTATATATATATAAAAAAGCCCAACGACTGTTGCAGCAGAATGACCAGTCACTATGATGCACATTGACCACCAGGGGGCAGACGCTCAGTGTAGAAGCAGCTCCCTGGTAGTCAGTGTGCTCCCACAGTGGGAGCATTGCCAGCCAGAAGCCGGGCTCACAGCTGGCAAGCGCAGGGGTGGTGGCGGGAGCCTTTCCTGCCTCCACGGAGTAGGCAGGTAGGCGGCTAGGTGGGCGGTAAAGAGCAAGTAGGCAGGCAGTTAAGAGTGAGGGGGTACCCGATTGCGAAAGGATGTCTGGCTGCTGGTTTAGGGCCTAAACCGGCAGTTGGACATCCCCTGAGGAGTCCCAGATTGTGAGAGGGCACAGGCCAGGCTGAGGGACACCCCTCCCGCCCCGCCTTACCCCCCAACCCCCATGCATGAATTTTGTGCATCAGGCCTTCTGGTGCTTTATAAGATTAAATATTTTTGCAACATTACCATTAATATCTTCATGGTACTTCACAATATTTTGTTTAACCAGGTATTTCACAGTATTTTATTACATCTCGGTTGTTCCCTATCATGAAATAATGATTTATTATAGCTAAACTTTGTACCCAGATATCACTGTAAATTCACAGAAGTGGATGTCAGTGCCTCGCACACAGTATTGCTGGGAGTTATTGGGGATGAGGGCTCATATAACAGGCCAGTGTCTTGGAAAGCAGCTCTCCAGCTTCAGGAGTGAGGATGCCCCAGCTGTGAGCGGTGGCTGTTAAGGAGGGAAAGGAGAGGGGGCGTAGGAATCTCTCACCAGCGAGGTTTTCTTCAAGTCCAGCTGGGCATGATTTTCCTGGGATTATTTCCACCAGCGAATGTGAAGGCTGCAGCGACCAGCAGCAAGTGTGCCTGGTGATTGACAGACGTTATCACGGACAGGAGACAGGTAGCAGAGACCATGAATTACCTGAACTTCCACATCTCTCTTTAATCTTTTTGAAATTAGATTGAACTATGGGTAAGGTGGCAATGGGTACATTCTTGACCTAATATAGTGTATGAGAGTTTATAAGAATGATGTAGACTTCTGAGCGTGTACTTGCTTAAGTACATAGTTATGTGTGTTTTGAGCATTGTTTACTTTATAAAGGTCTAAAAGCTGTAAATTTTGTTTTAAAAAAAAATGAATGTATGTAAGAACTCGGAGAACTGGCAGAGTGCTGATGAAATTAAGTTAGGGAACAGTTCAAATGTACCGAGAAACTACATGCTGCAGGTGAGCGTAGAATATGGGAGAGGAGAATGGCTGAGAGGAGTGATTTGCATTGCCTGAGAAAGGAGGAATACTGGCTAAGAGACAACAGCTGAAGAACAGCCTAAAAATATGTGATCTGCCTGGGAGGCCTCTGCTGCTTCCCTTCTCTCTCTCCCCTCTCCTGTCTGACCAAACATGCCTTCCATGGCCCACACGGTAAGGTTTCTTACGCCTCCTATCTTTTCAATACCCATTAGCAACAGGGAGCAGTCTTTTGACTCTGATCATTGGACCCATTAGGTGATATCTGAGAAGAACAAGATTGTCATTTGGCTTGACAAAGACTTCCATCAGTAAATGTATAAAACGCCCCAGCGTTTCATTAAAATCTGCCAGAACCCCCTGTGCAACAGGCATGGCTAGGATTCTAGATTTCCAGAATTATTAAACCTTTATCTTTGTGTTCTCACAAATGTTTCAGCCAAAAAAACATGAATCAGCATCCATTGTCCTTCTATCATGGTAACCCAGAAACCTGAATTTTGTTTTGTTTTGTTTTTATTAAAAAAAAAAAAAAAAAGGCATTTGGTCGAAACCGGTTTGCTTCAGAGGGTAGAGTGTCGGTCTGTGGACTGAAGGGTCCCAGGTTCAATTCCGGTCAGGGGCATGTACATTGGTTGCCGGCACATCCTCGGTAGGGGGTGTGCAAGAGGCAGCTGGTCAATGTCTCTCTCTCATCGATGTTTCTAGCTCTCCATCTCTCTCCCTTCCTCTCTGTAAAAAATCAATAAAATATATATATATTTTTAAAAGGAATTTGGAGGCTGTTACCATATTAGAGTTCTAAACATACCTTATTCCTGCTTATAATTGCTTATTCATTCTTATTTAATGATTATGTATAAATAGTTTTTTGTAGGAATGAGTATTTTTTCTTACTTAGAGTACTTACTTCCTTAGTGTGCATCATCTCTATTGTTCATAGTAAGCCTTCACGGTGATAAGCATTCCTTATTGGGAAACAGGCTCAGAAAAAGGTAGGTTAACTGCTCACATCTGAGAAACCGTGTAGCTATGTTGTGATTCCAGATCAGACTGACTCAAAAACCATCTACCTCTCACCTGGGGGAGAACTGAGCGGAAACAGACCGGGAAATAGCACAGACAAGTGTGTGAAACCTTGTGCGAAAAATACCCAACCCTTCCCATCTTGGATAGCCAGACCCTCAAGACAGACGTCAGCATTTTCCCAATGCTTTAACAGCTTTGTGCCAGTACGCGGTGCTTTTCCATGTTAAACTCGCTGTTTCAGACCTCCTCCCCTTCTGCCCCTTTGATCTTCCAGGCCCTCAGTACCGCCTGGAGAAGCAGAGTGAGCCCAACGTCGCCGTGGACCTGGAGAGCACCTTGGAGAGCCAGAGCGTGTGGGAGTTCTGCCTGGTCCGCGAGAACAGTACGTTGGCCTCCCTGCTCCGTGCTTGTTTAGTCCGCTCAAACACGCTTACAAGTCATGTGTTGGGGACCCTGGTCCCGTATCCCTAGGCAGATTTCACGTCAAACTTCAGCCTTCCTGCCAAAGTCTATCCCAAAATGAAATATTTGATTTCAGGCTTTTTTTTTCGGGGGGAGGGGGGGGTATTAAAAAGTCTGCGTTCTGTTTAGGGGGTATTAAAAAGTCTGCATTCTGCATTCTCTGTGATTTATATATTTTTTATTAAACTGAATCTTCCTAAATTAGGATCAGTCCTGGAAAACAGCTCAGAAAGAGGAGGCCTTTTCTGAGGCGAAGGCTATTCTATGTATAAGCAACTGGCCCCGTTACCATCACTGTTTAAACAGACATCACGGTTTAGAAAATTCTGACCATATGCGTATTTTAGCAAGAGGCAGTGTGTACCCAGACAACTTTACTGGCTAGTCTTACCAAACATTTAAGGAAAAAATTAGTCCAGTCTTAGATCAGCTGTTCAAAAGAGTAGAAAAAGAGGTTACACTCTCCAATTCATTTTAAGAGGCTGTAATAATTTTACCAAGCCCTAATAAAGACCATACAAGACAAAATATTTTCAAACCAATCTTATATAAATGCAAATATCCTAAACAAAATATTAACAAACTGAATTCAGTATTATATTAAAACTAGAAGCCTGATGCACGAAGATTTGTGCAAGAATGGGCCTTCCTTCCCCTGGCTGCCGGCACTGCCTTTGCTCTGGCTGGAGCTGCCTTTCCGCCTTCCCACACTGCCCAGAGGCCCGGAGCAGCTGGGATGGTGCAAAATGCCCAGCCCCTGGCCGCTCAGCACCTGTGTATGTAAATTAACCCACCGTCTTTTTTGGGATAATTTGCATACCCACTCCTGATTGGCTGGTGGGTGTTGCAAAGGTATGGCCAATTAGCATGTTGCTCTTTTATTATGTAGATAATGTAACATTCCCAAGTTGGTTTTATTCTAGGAGTACTGCTTCTCCAGGTTTAGTTTAGCAATAAAAAAAAGTCCCAGTCAGTATAATTTGCCACAATAACAGAATAAAAGGAAAACAGCCATCTCAGGAGATGTGGAATACTCTTTAATCATTATAAGTTGTGTTTACCAAGAGTTTTCATTACGAGAAAAATAACTTTGATGTAATATTAAAAGGGAACATTGTCAAGGTTACAAAATAACACAGCTAGACTTATCTCAACTATGTAAAATAAAAACAAACAAACCAAAAACATAGAAGAAAAATTAGAAGGAAAATGCCAAAATATTAATAGTAGTTGTCTCTGGTTAGCAAGATTCTGGATAATTCATTTTTTATCCTTTTATACTTTCCAGAGTTTCTAAAATAAGCATGCATGATTTTCTAAGAAGAAAAAGAAAGCAAGTAATAATGGCAAGTTCACATAGATACCAATTACATCATGAGAGTGCCTCCTAGTTTCATAATCCTTTGGACTGATCACACCCAATGAAAAATTATAACAACACATTCCTTTGTATCTTGTTTATTTGATTTTCTTACCTGATATAAATGGGTAATCCCTCCCTGTCATTTTCTTTCATTCTTTAAAGAATATCTTTCTCCCTCCCTCCCTTCCTCCTCCTCCTCCTCCTCCTCCTCCTCCTCTTCTTCTTCTTCTTCTTCTTCTTCTTTCTCTCTCTCTCTCTCCCACTCTCTCTTTCTCTCTCTCTCTCTCTCTCTCTCTCTCTCTCTCTCTCTCTCTCTCTCTCTCTCTCTCTTCCCCCTCACCCAAAGATATGGTGGTTTTTTTAATCTGTTTTAGAGAGAGAGGAAGGGTGAGGGGAAAACAGAGAGAGAGAGAGAGAGAGAGAGAGAGAAACATCAGTGTGAGAGAAGAGAAAAACATCTGTCAGTTTCCTCCCATACACATCAAGGTGGGGGATCGAACCCGAAACCTAGACACATATGTGCCTTCACTGGGAATCAAGCCCACAATCTTTTGGTCTATGACCGTGGTTGGCAAACTGTGGTCTCGAGCCACATGCGGCTCTTTGGCCCCTTGCATGTGGCTCTTCCACAAAATACCACGGCCTGGGCAAGTCTGTTTTGAAGAAGTGGTGTTAGAAGAAGTTTTTAAGTTTAAAAAATTTGGCTCTCTCTCTGCCGGAACCGGTTAGGCTCAATGGATAGAGAGTCGGCTTGGGGACTGAAGGGTCCCGGGTTCGATTCCGGTCAAGGGCAGGTACTTGGTTGTGGGCATATCCCCAGTAGGGGGTGTGCAAGAGGCAGCTGATCGATGACTCTCTCTCATCGATGTTTCTAACTCTCTATCTCTCTCCCTTCCTCTATGTACAAAATCAATAATATATATATATATAAAATTTGGCTCTCAAAAGAAATTTCAATCATTGTACTGTTGATATTTGGCTCTGTTGACTAATGAGTTTGCCGACCACTGCCCTAAACAATATAGTATAACTATTTACATAGCATTTATATTGTATTAGGTATTATAAGTAATCTGGACTTGATTTAAAGTTTATGGCAAGGATGTGCAAAGGTTATATGCAAATGCTACACCATTTTATGTAAGTGACTTTAGCATCCACAAATTTTGGTTTCCACCGGGAGTCCTGAAGTCAATCCCACCCAGTTACCAAGAAACAGCAAGAATATATACATACACATTTGTATTCCTCCCTTTTAAAAAACAAATGACAGCAGACTGTTATCAGTGTTCTCCATTTTTATTTTATCAGTTTGACAAATATTGTAGAGATTATTTCCCATTAATCCGCATATTATTTCACCTCTTTTTTTAGCTGTTGCATAGTATTCCACAGTATACTGTGATTCCAAATTAGTCTTTGTTTCTTTGTTTTTAAGATGATGCCCAACTTTCTTACACGAGGAAAGAGCAGCTGTGTGGTGGATAAAGCTTTGACATCTGGGCTCTTGTTCTTACTGTACTTCTAAGCATGAGCTCAGTCTTAAGTGACTTGCATGACATCTGTGAGCTTTGGCATCCCCATCTTAACGGATTGGCAAGAAATTCCAGTTCTTAAACTCTGACTTAAGATCGTTGTGGTAGGGAAAGACTTTACCAGCATTTACAAAGGGCACAAGGCAGTGAATGGTTTGGAATCAATAGAATACTATAACTAGTCTTTGTAAAATGGAAGTAAATTATAAAAGCAGTTCATTCTTCCTGTAGAAAAAGTTTTTGAATTTTAAAAAAATTTAAATAGCAATCTCAATCAAGAACCAAATATTGTTTTCTAGTAGCTACGTATGAAAAAGTTAGATTGAGGTTTTAAAATTTTTTTAAAAGCAAATTTTTAAATCTTCTGTTGGTCTCTTCTATCAGGACAGGTTTGCTATCCTTAAAGCGAATTTGGAAGTGGATTAAATTATGAGCATCTGTTATGCAGTATTTAAGAAAATGATATCAAAACAGACAGTTCACGTGCTGCCCCTGACACTTACCTGGTACAGTTTAACTTTTCTATCTGCCCTCATAAGGTTATTATGAAGATTCAGTGAGTTTTAATAATCATAAAGCTCTTAGAATGCTGCCTGGCCCATATAAACACTCAATAAATGTTAACTGTGATGAATAAATGGTGAAAGTACAGCATTAAGAAAGAGAGAGAGAGAGAGAGAGAGAGAGAGAGAGAGAGAGAGAGAGAGAGAGAGAGAGAGAGAGAGAGAGGGAAAGAAAGAAAGAAAGAAAGAAAGAAAGAAAGAAAGAAAGAAAGAAAGAAAGAAAGAAAGAAAGAAAGAAAGAAAGAAAGAAAGAAAGAAAGATCAGCATATCTGTGGCTGACAGCAGCGAGGTCTAGAATCGGAACTGTCAGGGCCCTGAAGGTGGTGTGTGATGGGGAGAGGGAGAGAGGGTGGTAAATGCGACAAGTCTGTGAATCTGTCACAGGACCAGAGAACTTAGGAGCAGGTGCTTTCCAGCCGGTGTGTTTTCGTGTTCTAGAAGAGATGTGCACTTTGTAAGTAAAACAGTTTGATTGGGAAGTCTGCCATGGGGTGGCTGTATATAGCCTTTCCGGTTTTATTCTGAGAAGGAATGGGGCCTCACTTTTTATATCAATGACATCAAAAGATGTTTTTTTAATTATTTATTCAGGCCTTCTATTGTAAGGAATTGTCCTAGACATCCTTAAAAAGGGCTCTCTTGTAATTTTCACAACCATCCTATAAGATGTTATTCTAACTAGAGAGAGAGGTTGTGGCTTGCCCATAGTTAGCTTGCTGATAAATGATAGAACTAGAATTCTAAGTCAACTGTCTGATTTTAAAGCCCATCCTGAGATTGTTGACAAAACAACCACCTTTTCAACCCTGAGGATGGTGATGACAGTTGTCTTTACACTCTATGGGGGACGGAGCTTGCAAATGAAGCTGATACGACAAGAGTTTCTGCCTAGAGACTGAGAGTTAACATTTGTACTTGGATCTTGGCCTAAATAAGAAAATGACAAGCCAGAGTCCTAAGCTTTCCAGTTGGATTCTTGTCTGATAATCTACTACATCCTTCAGCCAACTGTCTGCTGCAAGCTGGAACCAGACCAGAAGGAAGCAGGAGTACATTATGAGAAGATGTGATGTAGGACGACTGCCATTCTTGTCCAAACATCTGTGTGAATCCTGGCACCAAACTGAGCCTCAATTGCGTTTTCTGCCAGATGTTGCCAGTGACCTTTTCTCTTACCCACTAATCATGTGTGGGTAACCCCTTCAGGTCCTTAGAAGAAAGATGCAGCATGAACCAACTTGTTCTTTCCGCAGCTTTAAAAGAGATACTTGGGACTAAAATAGGCCTGAAATTCCACTGGCTTTATGGAATACCAACAAAATGTCAGACAGTGTCTTTCCTGTCTTACACTCAGTAGCCTGTCCTTACAGCAGTTCAGCATCATGCTTAAAAAGCACAGCCTTTAGAATCAGGCAGACCTGGGTGAACCACTGCAGCCTCTGACATTGGGCAAATCAC